TACTCCCTATTGAATGAGTACGGTACATTGAAAATAGTTAAAATGCCATACTATATCTGGATGTGTCGTTTTTTTAAATTATTTTGGATATTTTTTACAGTTGATCGCGGATCATAATAAAATCAATTTGCCGGTTCTATTAGTTGAAATGCCACAACTGCTGTTTGTTTCTAAACTATAATGTTGTGTGTACAAATTATAATAAGAACATATTCTTCGTAATTCGATGTATGGATATTAGACGAATAACTTATACGAGAAAGCGTCTAGAATGGAGTAAAAATAGATAAAATGTCTCAATCTGAATTGGTTTCGTGACACTTAATTACTTGGTACTTGACTAATGATTGTGAATCAATAATTAATAGCAGAAGACAATTTTATGACTTTCACCGAACTATTGGTAGTACTTCTATTGTGTAAAAAATTGTACAAGTCAACAGCTGGCGTTAATCTTTTCGACAATATTATCACTTTGGCAGCGCAATGCTCCTTGTTGAACTATATTACAAAGTCCTGATACTATCGATAATACTTTTAAAACGTAGTCAATTTCACAGTCTCAAGCTATTCTATCTCCTCGCGCTTAACCAATCTCCGAAGGTATTTATTTAACTATTAACACCGACGTTTTAGCCTATTCAAATTTCTAAGAGACGAACGATGGTGAACGCCGGAGTCTATCACTCGCTGAGCCATAAATTGGTCTAATTAGCGAGCCAGTGGCTCAGCCGCTTCGTGCCATTATTACTAATGAGCCACCAACTTATTGTGTTAGCGGCTCCATCGGCGCCTATTGATCCGAGAAGTGGAGCGGAGTTAAGTGGACTTAGTGTCCGGATAATGTGGAACACCTGGCCACTGTTTTAACCAATATGCTGCAATTCTTAACAATTTTTTCGCGTTTTAGAGAATCTGCAAGTCGAGTTGTTGACAATACTTTTACGAAGTTCTAGTCCGGGATTGTTTTACATACTTCATACTAGGCCCAGAAGTTACGGCATTATTACTTAGATAAATGTCTATTGGTGATTGGGGGGATTTGAACCCGGAACCTCTGGGACCAAAGTCCCGCGCTCTTCTACAAGATTAGGAAGCTCGCTCCCCATGCTTACAAGAGTGACAATAATAACTATAATACAAGAGGTTCTACCCGCGAATTAACGGATGTACATAAGCCACTATTAAATTAATTTAATCAACTTTGACTTTATATTTCATTTAAAGGGCCCAAGTTCGAGAAATTGTCATCTGAAAGGATGTTAAAAGCAGTGGAACCTTCATACCTTACGTCCTGAGGTGGCCGAGGTGGGTACGGTTGTACCTGAACACGCCGCTCTCTTTCACGACGTCTTTAATACTTTACTTAAATACTTTTCAATGAAATGGCGACCTGTTGAAGGTCGGTGACAACCTCTTGGAACGAACAACATACATGGTTTGTTAATCTCATATTCATCGTGCTTCGAACACCTTTAATCACTTACTTGTATCAAACAGCTATATTTTGCGTATTGTGTATTTATGTCAAAGTGGCTTACTTTATTAATTAAATATCTATTCCGATATTAATATACTATCCTTGTTGAACAGTTGAGAAACATAAAAGATTTTTCTAATTCCCAATAAAGAAAAACGACTATTTAATTTCATTCTCTTCTTTGACCTTATCATAGAATGTGTTTTACGTTGTTCGTAACAAACACTTGTTATAAATTAGTAAATGCCAGTGTCATCATACTTATTCGATTAAAGACTAAGTTAAAAGAAAGCGAAAATGGTTATTACTACCACTTGGCCAGTAATATACTTTCCGAGTTTCGAAAAAGCAGTATTTTATATATTCTTACATCTGTGAGTGGAATTTCGTTACAAAATACTTAACGCTATACAGGGAAGTACGTTAAAAACTCTCAAAGTTTTGTGTATGCGGTGGATCGAACCCTACCATCACACACAGAAATCCGAGACGCCGAGAAGAGAAATTCCGAGAAGAAAATTTTAAAATTCAAGTACTTTCAGCTATTTAGCTGATAGTACTTTAAAATTAAGTCTGAGAAGCTAAAAGAATTGTAAATAATGAAAGAAACTACGTTTGTGTTTCTAATGTGTTTACATCTTCAGAAATATGATAATCTGAATACAAATATCACGTTTCGGTAAATTTGCAAAGAGGAAATGAACTACATATCTATGGCGATTATCGTGCATACCTTTATTTTAAGGGAGTTATTTTATATCCGCAATCAGAATAAAACCATGAAATACAGCGTTGCGTAAAATATGAGCGATGTAGGGTAACTAAACCCTACTTTGATGTAAACTGCATTCCTTTCTTGGTCGTAATCTTCAGCAATGAGAGCGTAGTTGGTAATTTATTGTGATTGCGTTCGCCTGCAGTGTTATCTTTAAAAATGAGATTAAACCCCCTGGAGAAACCTCGGTCCTAACAATTTATTTAACTGTTGGAGCTTAAAATCGTAATTTAATTAGGAATACGGAATTTAAAATATGAACATACTATATTGATTTTAAGTGTTGTATAGGTTTAATAAAAAGTCTGGAGACCACCCGTTAATTTTTAACGGCTTATTCTAGAAAAAAAAAACTAAACTCTGCACAACTTTATGGCATGCTATGAAGTATTTTTTGGGCACAACCGCCACTTCGTGTACATCCCCCCAATAGGGGTTTTCGGGGGAAACTAAAAAATGTCAAATGTTAAGCCTCATCGAGTGACCCCATGACCTCATTTTGAAGGTCCTGATAAAATAAACACAACAACGAAAACTAGGGCTCTTTATCTCAACCTAGTTAAAATATGGCAGTCAGTTGAAATCTTTAGCAGTCAGAATTTAGACTTCTAAGGATTTCAATTGACTGTCATATTTTACTGTGTTAAGATAGAGACCTCTTCTAATTTGCGTTGTTAGTTTTCTTTTATCACTGCCTTCAAAATGAGGGGTCACTCGATGGGGCTTAACATTTATTTTTTAACATTTATTTTTTAGTTTACCCCCTAAATCCTCCATTTTGGGTTTGCGAACCAAGTAGCAATTAGGCTCAAAAAGTACTATATAACATACCATAAAGGTGTACAGAGTTTAGTTTTTCTAGTGTGAGCCGTTACAAAATTTAAAGGGGGTCTCCAGACTTGGAAAGCTGTAAGTTAAATTTCAGTACTGAGAATTTTAATTATATTTATATGTGTATAACATGTTTTATTGTTTTGGGTCTACTCGTAATTTATTGATAAGTAAACCTATCCCAAATAATGAGTACAGTAATTAAAAATTTTATTTACGCTATCTGAAAACTATTTGGGTAGCCGAGTGGTTATAGTGCTAAACTTAAAATCTTAAAGTCGCTGTTTCATTTCCAGCGATATCGTCCTCTTAAGAACCAGATTCCATTTCTCATTGAGCTATAAATTAATGATTCTTTCTCACAATAGTTCGAAGTTAGATAGTAACAAGACCAGGGCTTTGGCCGTTCTCTTACAAAAACCAAACCATATAACAAGCAAGTTTTTTTTCGTTAATTTACACGAGAAAATCTGAAGTAATAAGAACCCCATTGGCAGAAATTATCGTTGTAGAAAAGGTCTGCGAAACGTATGCATTGTGGCCAAATGTATGTTAAAAATATGTGTCTTGTAAAAACCTGTTGCAATTTTTTTAAAGCATTTTCGTAAGGTGTGGTAAAGAAATTGTTGGATTAATTACAGTCGATGTGTACCAAAACCGTACTTATTACATACCACTGTATTCATTTCCACCTAAATTCTTGGGGGAAATTGGTAATGTATTGTTAACCCTGCTAGGTAGGCAACAGTCATAATAATGGTAATTTGTTCTGTCCAGTGGTTGCTGATTATCTCTCTTAATAACAGTTTTAAGTATCAATTAAATCATGGTATAACAGCAGATTGTACACAAGAGACCAAACATTTTATGAAAATAAAAGTTAAATAGCCTACTTATACTGATGATTGAAACATGACTAAGGAAGCCTTCGTAAATTACTTGTTATGGTATATATCAACAATATACATATTTTATATATTGTAAGTTAACAGTGTTGTTTATATAAAAGACCTAATTGCCTCAAGTAACCCGTTCATAATATATAAATTCTCATATAATGATTTTTATTGAATTTTAGTATTGTCAGCTATAAAGCCACCTTTGAAAAATTAGCACATTATTACTTTTGCCTCGGAGACAAATTTTGAGCCCAAAAAGCACAATTTACATTCGGGTCCCCTCGTTGTTATTAAATCTGTATAATAATTAGACCTTAATAGAGCGTTTATCACTAGAACCCCAAGGGATTATAGCTTCAGTAAATATTTTGAAATAGTTTATGTTACTATGGATTGCTGTATATTGCTGTTAACTGTGTTAAAATTTGTTGATTTTTTTGCATAATAAAATACGACTAGGGTTGTTTTAAAGGAATGGATAGTGGAATTATACAATTACTTTCATCGTAATTGAATTTAAGCGTCACTTCTTCAGCACAGAAAAAAGTATAGCATTGTAAACAACGCAATGTTAAGTTGTCCTAAAATTTTAAAATGTATGTCGCTAAAGTTTAACATCAGCTAAGCATTTTTAAGAATGGACACTAACAACATTATTCTCCATATTTCACCACGAATTTCATTACGTTGAAATTATTTTTTTAATGTAAAATTAACCTTACCGTACCGAATTTAACCCTGGGTCTATTATTAATAAATTATGCTTATTTTGTTTTAGTCATTGTAGTTTTTTTTACGATTTTGTAAGGGAACGCTCCAAACCTTAGTCTTTTTACCATATGGTCTACTTATTGCTTTATCGTGGTATCATAGCCCAATGACAAATTGTCAACAAATCACTCCCGCCTGCAATCGAACTACTGTAGCAGAGTTGAAGGCGAGCAAATAACCTTTCGGCTGCCCAGTTTGTGCACTTTCAAGTTATAAATTTGCATAAAAAATATCCAAGACTTACATGTGGTGGGATGGAAAGCCGGTCTTCACTCTCCGGTAGCGAAGCTAGCCGATCTCTTGTGTTTCTGTTAAAAATAATCATTCGGTTATCCCCCATACATGACCATAAAATAACGTAAAACTAATTTTTATATTTGCTTTGATTGTGAAATCAAAAGTTTATTGAGTGTCTGATAGATTTCGCGTTAAATGCCAGTAATATAAATATATGGTAATATGGTTTACTCACTCAAAGCTTTAACTTTCAGAAGGAACATCGATACGTTGTGTAATATTAATGTTATCAAGCTAAAGAGTTGAAAAAAATAATTTCTAGTCAATTTGCATAGTATTTAATTTACCTTTCTTGATTTTTTGAAGAATTTGCTCGAACGGTGAAGCTACCCTGCATGTTGGAGGTAGTTTCAGCATGCGTGTCTGAAAAATAACGGACATCTTAAGACAAATAATATTGTTATATCTTACATACCTATCCACATTTAAAACAAATTTACCAAGGTGTTTATTGTTGTGTAATTGATTAAATTACAGCATTATATTATAATCAAAGCCACAATTATGACAGATAGTTTTGGAAACCTCAGAGATTCTTTTTAGTATATTTTTTGTTATTTAGCGTATCAACTCCTTAAAGATTTTTCACCAAAAACCGTTAACGATTTGGAGTTCCTTCAGTTAGTACAAAATGTACTAATACATTATCGTAAGTTTGAACAAGACATATCCAGGGAATTTCTTTTGTAAATACATTTTAAATACCGTATTGAAATGAATTTACACTGTTGTGGCATTTTACTGTCTAGCGACTTATTGAACATTTTATGGGTTAGTTTTACAAAATTGTAAGCTTACCAGTCGTCAAAGGATGAATTAAGACACACTTGGAAGCGAACGAAATCGTCGTCAAAGTATGAATTAAGACACCCTTAGAAAGCGAATGAAATCGTCGTGAAAGGATGAATTAAGACACACTTAGAATGCGAACGAAATCGTCGTCAAAGGATGAACTAAGACACAATTAGAAAGCGAACGAAATCGTCGTCAAAGGATGAATTAAGACACACTTAGAATGCGAATGAAATCGTCGTCAAAGGATGAATTAAGACACACTTAGAATGCGAACGAATTTGTCGTCAAAGGATGAATTAAGACACACTTAGAATGCGAATGAAATCGTCGTCAAAGGATGAATTAAGACACACTTAGAATGCGAATGAAATCGTCGTCAAAGGATGAATTAAGACACACTTAGAATGCGAACGAATTTGTCGTCAAAGGATGAATTAAGACACACTTAGAATGCGAATGAAATCGTCGTCAAAGGATGAATTAAGACACACTTGGAAAGCGAACGAAATCGACCGAGTATATGGAACGAATATAGACTACAACAATTTTCAAACATTTTAATAAAGCGTATGACTGAGTGGTTTTCACATTCATTCAATTCCTAAAATTATTGATTTTTGAAATGACGAGATACAGGCAAGTCAGTTGTTGTTGGTCACAAATCGAGTTCGTATCGAAATTACTTAAAGAACATTTAGATTATATTCTTTATCGTGCCCCTTTTACAATTTATACTCTGAAATAGAACACCACAAACACTAGCATCGGATTTTCCTCTGAAAATGCAAAATATTCAAGAATATTTGAACAAATCCGACAAGTAATTCTTATCGACAATGCATTTCGAACATCATATTCAAATCGTCAAATATATTCATTTACCATTTTCTCCTCATCGTTTTGTATTCCGGAATAACACCAGAAACGTATCAGATTTCTCCCTCGATATACAAAAAGTATCACGAGTTTTATAAAACCGAACGAAACTGACCCTAATTTAAATTCCGTATCGACAATAAACTTTACACATCAACGTTCAAAGTTTATTGGCTTTAAATTATAGCCAATAAAATACCCTTTCCTGACCAACCTAACAATTCGCATTTTTTAATACCAATACCACAATACTTCGACTATCCCTCGAAATATATGAGAATGCTTTTGACCGATCGAAATACGAAGGCTACAAATAATTAGCGAAGAAAATAAATTTAAAACTATTTTTTCAAATCTTAAATACATCCTTCTCCTGTCACCTCTTGCATCCCAACATAACTAGACCACTCATTAACCGTATTTTCTGATATCCCATAAAATCCTGAATGTACCCGACATTAGTTATAACTGGACTAAACCCAATATACAAATAATTCTTATAGAAAATCACAAACGATTTGATTAAATCTTATATGTACCCAAATCACCTCAATAATTCGTATTAAAAACAAGGCCACGAAACTTGGTCTCGAAATGCAATCAGACATTTTTCACCAAACGAGACAAATCCCGAAGTGAACACGACGCGTGGAGTTAAGAGGCTTATGTTCGGTGGCCAGTGGTCAGTAGCCAGTCACGACGCACATATAATCCTGATATCGCAAGTAGCCGAGTTCGATCCCGTGACGGGCCTCAAGTCTGTGATTGAGCCGCGGCGGCGCCTCGCACGCCCACGGACCTTCCTTCCGCCAACGTCCGTCCCCGGAGGTTCTTCTGTGCGAGGAGTCATAGCTGTCATATGTCGGCTGGAAAACTGTCCAAGCATTGTTCATTGTTGCATTCGCATCCGCGAAGATTGCATTGTTGTTGCACGTAGTTCTTTTCAAGGAGAGGGAACTTTTAAAAATTGTGTCAAATGCAGGTTATGCATACTAAATTATCTAACCAGAATGGGGCAGATTTTAGTAGTGGTGGTCTTCTAAAAAGACCCGCTTGAAAAATTAAACTACAGCGATCTTTACAGGTTTCACTAGCAAAATCCTCTGTCTTTTCCATTTTAGATTGGACTTAAAGAAAATCGCCCCAAAGTTATTAGCCAATTGGTTCAAAGAATATAGGGGATATATTGAACTAAAGTATAGAGATTTAAATAAAGAATCCTAATATCTCCGTGATAAAAAGTACAGTCTTTCGACCGGGTCACCTAGGTGCTCGCCCTTTTCCCCAAGCGAAACATTGAACAGATTGGTTTTAGGGGTTGCAAGTTATGCCACAGAGTTTACCCTAAAAGCCTAACGTTGTGAAATCCATAAATACCACCATAAATACATCCACCATAAATACATGAATCGTCTATTAATTTCGTTCAATTAATAATCACTGCAGTAAAATATTAAGGTATAAACATATCAATGCAACATTTGGGTAGTTAGTTTTCGACATACATTTGCCAGTTCAGCCAAACCCTCGTTTAAAACCGCTTCATGTCGTGATATATTTTTGAAATCCAACAGGTTTTACACTTAAAGAACAGTATTCAAGTTTATTAAACCCTTGGCCGACAGAGTATCAAAATGTAATGTGAGCTTAATCAGTTTCTCACACTAAATTTCTTTACCGTAATGGAATCTACTGTAACGCTTACAAAACCCGTACACATTTTTTAATGTTTTATACAAACGAAAAGCGGTGGTATTTTTCTTATGAACAGTAAGATTTTTAGGGAAATGAAAGATGAGAAAACTAATGTAGGAGGTGCGAGGGAGTGCCTTGCCACACCCTTCACCTGTGCAAGTAGACGCCTTCCATCGTCGCCCGTCACCTGTCTGTCGCTACACTGGTCACAGGGATACAAGTCCCTAGGTTACAATTGAACATTAGAGTTCCAGTACTGTGATGGCTGAAACCGAGCCATTGGTTTGACGAGGCCATGAAAATGTAATACATGTAGCAATATTTCGTTTACTAGAACTTAAGCACTTTTAACTATTTTAAAGATGATAATAAAAAAGTGACAAAATGCTGTGTTGAATAGAACCCTAATATCCCTAATACTAGAACCCTAATCTATTATCTGTGGTTGAATCGAACCACAAAACTTTCAAAGATACCCTTAATTGATAAATGAATTGGTTTATTTGAACAACATAATTGTTGACGATGCTCTGGCCAGTAATGTTAACTCAAACAACATAAATTGAAAAATCAACCTTCGATTGATAGCAATGTGTTTACTTGTGAATTGATAAATCAGTCTATGGTTTGAAATTGAAGTTGAAACAATGATCTAAGCTAATTTGACGTAAATTAATGTGTTTCAACTCGACCCAAACGAATATTTTACTATTCACAATTAAACTTGAATCTTAAACTTAAGAGAAGAAATGCGTTTGGTAGAGATTACCTGCTAAAATACTGTTTGATGTCAAACGAACGAAAATTAAAATTGTACAACAGTTTTTAATCCTAGAAACATGTTAGTAGTTAGTACAATGATATGTCTAATCCAACAATACAACTTGAAAATTCGTCAATGACCTCGAGGAAGAAGAGTTAATACAATATACAATAATATTAATACATTAATACAATAATATACGCCTTTCAAATTCATTGAAATTAATGGGTACTTAACATTGTGTCTGTTCTATTACATATACTCAGAGAATATCCACGAAGAACCATAAGACGTTTGAAGTTTACATTTTAAAAATTGATAGGGTAACTAAAGTTTTATGTAAAGTGGAATTTTTCAAGCAGATATTTTACTAAATGATACTATCGACCTTATTAAAAAAGTAATATTGCGTAAAATCATAGTATTCATGCGTGAAATAAATCATCAATCAATTTACCATTGACGTCATGATTAGGAGTGAAATAATTTACGATTTCACATTCGAAGCACCAACAAAACGCACTCGTTTCTTCCGGCTCGGTTTCAGTGGTGAATATCAAAACTCATTGACCAATGCAAAGCACTCATTGTGCATACGTTCGAGGTTATTTGAATGAATATACTTCGAGTTTATTAAAACATGAATACGAAAAGCTGCATATTGTTCCTTGAAGCTAATAGACGGTCAAATAATTTAGTCTTTTTTTATACACTCTCTTAAGATTAGAATTACTTCGGATTGTTTTAGCTGTGTACGTTTTATTGGCTTGTGATCTATCTCTATTTTTACTTCGCAATAAAATAACTTTTCCCCACACTATGATGTTTTAGCGGTTTTACATACGTTAATTGGTGGCTGAAAGTTACGTTTTGCTGGCCATGCCAGCTGTCGTCGTTATTTGGGGACCGAGCAGGTTTTTACATCCCTAGGGCCGCAAAATCAGCTGCCCACTTACTTAAGACATGAATGCATATTAAATACACAACCAGTATCCATAGCATTGCAATAGAATTGTTTTATTGTCGCCGTTGCCTAGCAACTATTTATTTTTATTTTTGCTGATTCCTCAAATTATTTCTTCCCATAACCTTGAAGTTATAGTTGCGTTGACTATCTATCAGTGTGCATTATTATAGTGGTGAATAGTGGTAATAGGGTATAGTGTGGTGAAAAATAGCGTTCGTACCACGGACCGAAATGATTTTCGGCCCTAGGTACGAAATATACAATTTTATATTGAAGCTCTTGCCAAAATTTAAAGTATTCTGTGATTACATTTTGTCAACGTAGTTAGCATTATACAACTATTTTAATTGTGTTGCCCAAGTTTTAACTGGAAACTTCAAATTAAACCTTATCACTATTTGCTATGTTGTAAGTTTGGTTTGAAAGATTAATAAAATGTAGTCTTTGTCAAAATAAAAGGTTTAATGAATGTGTATAAGATTCAAAAGTGAGTCCATGAGTAAATTTCGTGGTTTCCGCAAATGATAAGGTTTCGCCATAGTACAAAGAACGGTACATTATTAGTTATTGATTATACTATGTAAAATGTAACACTCAATGGCGCAATGAGATTACAATGTTTTGATCATAATGGTTTTAAATTAATTTGTACATTAAATTAAATCGTTAAAATCCGCCAAGTGGTTGATTCAGAATCGTGAAATAAAAAAAAAACCTTTAATATATACGAAGGGTTTTCTAATTAAACTAAGTTTATGATCAGAAGTCCAGATTATATAACTGTTCTTGAATTGCAATGTTTTTACCTTGTATAGTTGCATACTAAACTTGCTTTTGAATTGTTTGTCAAAAACATATTTTATTTCAAATTCAGACAAAGTTTTAATGGAACATTTCTCTCGTAGACCTTTTAATATTTTATTTAAGTAATTACAGTAATATATCGGGTAAATTAAAAGTGAGAAGAACCAACCCTAGCGGCCATTCATGGAGATTCTGTATACTTACTTTTATTAGATTTTCAATAAGTAAAACGTTATCAATGACGCATGAACAAGACATCTTATTAAGGAAAAACTGTAGCCCCTTACAAAATGGTGAAGCTAACGTGCAAATTTACATGCGGTTTTACTTTAAAATTGTTTTTTCAAATAAAGTCTTTAAACGAATTTATGCCTTAAAGTCCTTATGGACATTTTAATTTAATTTGTGGAACTTCAAACTTGCTCTGACCAAACACGTTAATAAGCTACACTTCATGATACGAATGATGTTTTGTTGTATGATGTGTTGTGTTTTTGATGTTTACTTCCGTTTACAAGTTTACCAATTATTATTAGTCAAGTTTTCAACGGCAGTGTAAATTATACTACATAATATAGGGCCATTTGCGGTATCAAAATATTCTTGATTCTTTGTTGAGTTCACTCCCAAATTTGAGTAAATCATTCCAGCCGTTGATGTAAAACTATAGGTACTGTAAGATTTTAATGTGTTTTGATTTATTGCTAGTTTTAGATTCACTTGATTAACTCAATATTTTGGCAACCGATTGCTTGAAACCTTTTATTTTTTTTACATTTCTTTACACTCGTGACAAAACGTAGATTTTGAAGACTCTAAGCCCGTAGGCCTATATTCTTTAAGAGGGCCTCTACTCTTCTACATACTCTTCCAACATTGTTCCACTCTTGAATAACACAACTATTGAACGCTGTGGTTATTAGGTTAGTTAGGTTAGGTTGAGTTTTTGAGACAGAGAAACAATGTGACATTTACATAAACAGAAGTTGTGATTAAAAAAACTATTTTAACAAGACGTCAGTATCCGTTCCCTCTTTTTCACGTTTTATAAAGAGAGAAATTTGTACAAATTGTACCTTGTTTATCATTGTCATAAACTAACCCAACTGCCGGAGCTCATTGTCAGGATAGCGGTTTCTCTTCTCTTAAAAAAACGCCTTTAAATAAATACGTTATGTCACATTCTTACTAAATATTTTGGCAACAAATGGCTTAAACAGTTGATCAGATTCTTAAACGCGATGCAACACCCGGGGCATTGGGGCAAAACTGGACAAAACATCCATCGATAACTACAGTATTTGATGAACGTCTCTTAGATTCCACTATTAATATTAATTAATTATTTAAACTCAATAGCACAATTAATTATTAATCTGCGCATTTTTTTCGCATTGGTCGTTTCCGCTAACGACGCTTCTTGTGCGTGATAGATGATCTCTCATCGCAGCTTTCTCGAGATGTCGATTAATTAAACCCCAACAAATTGTGGGGGACGCCCCCCACCCCGCCAACCCCCTCCTAGGGTAACAATGGCGGACAGCCGCCATCGCGGTGCATCAAACATGTTATCAATCACTTGATCGCAAATGTTGACAAGTCGAGGAAAACATGGATTAATGTTTTTGTAATTGATATTTTTTGCGCGTCGTACTTGCCGTCTATTAGGGGTACAAAGATACATCTTTGTATGGCAAATTGATAGTAATTCCAAAATTATCCATCGGGGGGAGTAAATATATAATTTTTTAAAGTTATAGTTAGTTTCTGGATAAATAAATGAGAAAAGTCATCCCCAGATGGTAAGTGACCTGAATTGAAAGTAGGTTTCCGCGCGGATTTCAGCAGACGTTCTATAAAAGGGTTTAACATAATTCAGTGATTAGTATAAACTGTATTTGTATAAAACTTGAAGTTTTTAACAATTATTTTGACATTTAACTACTTTCACGGGAAATAACTCAAAATTGAACATCAACGCGTCAAAATATTGTTGCAACCAAACAAATAAATACAATGTAGGCCTAAATGGTATAAAAATGTATGTAAACATATTATATAATATAAAACATTTACTATGGTTAAATTACTATTAATTTAAAAACATATAAAACGTTTTAAATCAAATTACGACACCAACAACAAAATTTACAAAAACACCCTAATTTTTTACAAAATCTGCACTTATTTTACACTAAACTAATATTTACACTCTACCCAAGCCTTTCGCACCCCACTCACCACCCCTACACCCAAGCGGGCGACACTGATAACAATTACGTTATCAGGTGTTGCTAGGTTACATGACAGACTCACCATGTAGCTGCGAGGTGGGCCGGCGCGCCGCGACTGACCAGACCGCGCGCCAGTGCTGCTCGCCGCGGCCACAGTGGCAACTACCTGAACTATACTACACCGCCCTATATGGAGTACGATGCGTACTGTGCCATGTATGGTGGTTGTGACTCATGTGGACGAAGACTACGTTTATCTGTTGTGATACCATGGGTCGCAGCACGATTTGATATGGGACTTTGTAAACAGTTTTTGTAGAACGAAAACTTAATGTTTTGGTTAATGGGCTTTTGTAACTGTGTAACGGAATCGGCTGTTTGCGTTACAAGGGTTGTCTTAAGAAATTCTTTTACTCCCTTGCGCAACGAGGAATCAGCTGATATCAAGGGCATCAACTGTAGCTGTAGCTGTGTACATTTTTCTGAATTTTTTAGATCCCTTGAAGTTGTGCCAACTCATATAGAAGTTACAATACTACAACTAGAATCAAATATTTTATTTTATAGCGCTCTAGATTTATTATAATCACTTTGGTTTTTGGAAAACAATTTAGGATAGTAAATAACTCTAAAGCGCCTGTTTGAACATTGCTTTTATGCAAATTTAAGATCGCCTTAGCATCGAAGGAGTCTAAACAATATTCCGCTGATTTTGCCCAGGAAAAGAGAATTACAAAAATTATTAGTTTGGTATTATAATTCATTTGTGTGTTATCTTTGTCATTTTGTATGTTCCACTATATTGTATGTTCCACTACATAACCCTCAACGTGCGAAAAGATCATTTGGTGATTTCGTTACCCAATGGCGTAGTATGACGACCCTCGCTCATTTCCCAACCATCGTCGTAAAAACCTTCGATTCCCTGTGTCGAAAAGAGTTACTATAGTGTTGAAATATACTATTTTTCGGGCAACATTTTAACCATAAAAACCATCCTAAATGAGATTCTATACTAAATTATATAGGTAAATGTTTCGTAAAAATTCCTGAAATTGATTCAAGTGTGTTGAAATTTGTATATTGTAATTGGGGTTTTTTGAAAAAAAAAAAACTAAGCTTACAATTAATTAAGAATTAAGAAGGTGCAGCTCCAGAATAATGACTTGCTGTAGGGAGTGGGCATTGTTTAACATTTTGATATTCAGTTACCCGTCACCCAATGAATTTAAGTATTTACGGCATCCTAAGCTATTTTTCTCGAGAATAATCGCTAAAGTTGAATTCGTCAGTAGAGTTGGCATATGTCACACATGTAGTAAACACTTTTGTATATACTGTTTTGCAATTATCATACTGTATAGGCTAATCTAGCGATGTTTACGCTTCCAAGCTGTCACGAGTAGCGCTTGCGAAAACCAATTGTGAAATCGCGAAATGAAATGAATTTAAAGAATTGAATTTGTATTTGTTCTCCCTTATTTCGTGAACATTATAGTCTAGATTCTCAGATTTTATACACACCTACTTAAATATTGTTTTTAGACTATTTTAGAGACTATATGACCCTTAGGCCTATATTGCTTACTTTTACAAGCTATACGGTAAACAACTTTTGATCGAGATGTCTAAGTTCTTAGAAATATTTTTTGGAAAATAATTTCCTGATGCTTGGATTAGAAACGTGTTTTTTAACGAATGATTGATCTTGTATGATTATAAGATCTGGTGTCCGAAACTAAAATTAAAGGACTAGCTAAGAAATTGATCTCGTATCTCCGAAATTTAAACTGCTGCCATTGTGTTTATATATTTGAGGATACAAATGTATCCGGTGCATGTGTTATGCATTTAAAAGCATATGTAAACCTGTAAACATGTATTTAATGCATAAGGGTCCAATCACCGTTTACTGTAGGCAAATGCTTGATTGTTCCCTTATCATGAAGCCTTACACGTCAATATCTGGTCCAATAAATATTTCCCGGTGGTTCGTAACCTCAATTGCAATCTCTACAGGATTTGACCGTTTGTGGACAAATTTCTCTACATGTTTATTGTCATGATGCTATCCGAATATCAATCGTTGAAACCCACATTCCTTTTAGGGTTTCAACCTGATATACCCCTTCACGGACAACTTACTAATACATGTGTTCCTTTCTGCCACTAAAATGGGATGAGATCTACTTTAGAAGTTCATATACATTACAATTTAAAATTGTAGAATTTAAAAATATTTCCACGTTCCACAACATATTCCAACAAAATTACACGGAAACATGTAATATTTCATGTCATATAGTATATTGTTGATAATTATGCTACTGTACTAATATAGATGTACGGTATTTAGAATCCTTATATAATATGATTCCTAACATATAACATGAGTCTAGCTGATAGTTTTATTTGATATATTGTAAATTTTTTTACAAAATGTAACGGGTAAGGACTTAATCAGATTCCTTATCAGTTTTTTTTTTTAATTTATTACCTCAATCAGAGGGTTCAAAACCATCTTGGGCTTTTAAAATGATGTACACAAAACTGATTTGGTACCATAACACAAATAAACCATGATTTGAATCCCAAACTTGCATTTTACCCATGTTTTATGGTAAATTTTTAAATGGTGTATAGCTAAGTATGTATTATTCTGTTATGTTTTAAGAAATCAAATAATATTCATACGGCAAATTGTACTATGTGTAGTAATTAATTTTTACGTTTTGTTCACAGGTAAGCCCTACGTAAATCGACAGTCTGTGAGTTTTAGATGTAAAATTTTGTTAAATATTTAATAGTTTTGAATTTTTCGTACAGTTTTTACAACTTTAGATAGATATTTTTTATGCATCGATGCAATACTTCCTAGTACAGATGGTCTAGAATTGACTTAAAATGTAATCATCAGTGGTTTTAAAGTACTCAGTTTTATGCATAGAAAGTTACACCTTTTTAAGTTTGTGTAAACATATATACCAAATATGTTTATTTAAATGTACACAGTATACCTCTACAATGTTTTGTATCTTTTGTTCCTTAAGAAACTTATGTTTTCTCCGATTATTTCGCCACGGTGTGTGGCATCTTCGGGTAGATTTGAGCAGGTCCTTTTTTAATTTCTGTTAGAGCGAATTTTACAAAACAAGGTACTGTAACTTAAATAGTTCAATTATCTAGTTCTTGTCAGTGGGAAAATTATTATAAACAAAAAATGTTTCTACAGATTTTATAATTTGTTACAATTAATAAAAACACAATTTCCCTGTCTGCATAAATTTACTCGACAAGTGCTAATTTATACCAGTTTCTTATTTACACGAGACTCTTATTATTGGTTTTCTATTTAGACTAAGCTACTCTAAATTCACTTTGGAATTTGGGAAATAGTTGATGGTAACCCAACGAAAATGTATCTAAAATATTGCTGAGCTACTTTAATTTACAAGAAGCAGATTTCGGCATGCTCCAAATAAATGACATCAGCCACTCAGAAGAACAGCTGGTTGTGTTTACGTTTGAAAATGGCGATTAATGTATGCCGTCACTGATGTAATTTGAGTCTGTTTTGGGTCAGACTATATTCTTTTAAACTTGACTGCTGCTGGTGTTGTGCCATTGACTACACGCACACTACTGTAATCATACGGTTAATTTATAATATTAATGTTGAAACAAATAATCGAAGGCTGTAGTCAGTTCAGTTATACTATACACAATAACTTCAATTGAAATACCTTAAGCTGTGTGGTGCTGTAAATATAGTTTATATCAATGATTTTACTAAATGATCATCAACAATTTTTAACTTTCGTCTTGTAAGGGAATAACCCATTTTTATGCTTTTATGAGTGTTTGTATTACCACATTTCTTTGTTTAATTTCAACAGCTTTTGCGTCAGTAGTACGAGGCACATAAATGAAGATGCCAGTAATAAGATAAATTTAGATAACGTTACGCTAAATTTGAAAGCAAAAAAAGCTATTGTCTGATATAATAGGCAACATTTTATGAGAATTAGGAGATAGCAAAACCAGGTTGTGAAAAATAATAGACAAACAAACCACATGTTAGTAGATCGAGACAACTATACTACTGTATGCTGAAATGATTAGTAGAAAGTAATTGTGATAACAATGATGCAAACACACAATGTTTTAATTAATGGGAGACAAAAATAGTGTGAAAAGTAGGAGACAACATACAAATGTTGGTACAGTGTTTGATTTTGATCTAACTAGACAGAACTCCAAGTTTTTCGACGTTGAATGTTTTAACAATGGAAATAATGGGTTTGAAATAATCCATCGTGCCATTGTTTACTACGATTGTCATGACGATTGGTGACTCCACTACTAGTTGATCTGCCTGTAAGTGCCGATGCGTTCCCGTAAGTCACCTCCTAACTGGCCAAGTGACCATCTGCCCATCTGGCCATTTGACCATCTGGCCACGGCTGTCCATCGCGTATCTCACCGTCGCCGATGAAGAGGGAATCAAGAGGGTCACTGCAGCCAATTAAGCAGCGGCCCACAAAGGGCTATTGTTGCCAATATCTATCTGTCTTGGCACAATATTGAAATAAATCGCGGCCGGTCGGTGACCGCCACTAGCGCTGGTAGCGGCGCGGTCGGCAACTACCCAACACATGACACTGGGAGGGTGGTTAACTTTGAAATGTTACTGGTCAAGTGGAATAATCATTGGTTATACAAGGGCTAGCTAGCTTAAATATAACATTCTTTGGAAAAGAAATGGTATCTTTGATTCTTACTCGACAAGTCTTCAGCGATAGGGTAAAAATTCTACAGTAGCCTATTCTACAGCCATACGAAAAATGAATAGTTCCTTCTTCCATTTAACAAACTACGAGGACTACTGGTACGTGTGAAATTTACAAATTTGAATATAAGAAGATTTGTTAATGCTTCAAGTAATTATATTTGTGACACATACAGTATCTCCCACTAATTAATTGTAAGGATGTTGTAATTACGTGTTCCACAGCAGGCTTGGGTTTATCTCTTCTTGAAAACGCTCCATTCCAAAAAAGTTAAATTAGGCCTATATTTTAAGTAGATCGTGTAGAGAGATGGTTCCTTATAAATTGTATTATAAAGAACCACATATCTACACGATCT